ATGTTCGAGACTTTCCAGGTCCTGCACATTTATGAAGATGTTCCCCATGTGTTTCAAAACATTTTGTACAGACATATCTAACATGTCTGTCATTAATTGTAAGCCTCGAAGTAATATTTGGAATTCTGTGAAATACTGAACACGATTTCAAACCAAGACACGGGACTTGAACATCTCTCTTGCATACATTCCAACAATGTTTAATACAATTGCTACTTTTGCTAAAGAACTTTTTATATTCTTCACAAAGTAAGCATTTTTTTTTATAAACTAAACTTTTAGAATAACGCCTTAATGTTTTAGTACCAGATAAGTGAAGTTGTCCATGATCGAAATTGAAATGATTAGAGCAAACTCCCAACTCGATTAAATCTAAAGATTCTTCTGAAGTCAATTCTATTTCCCATGTTCTGACTAATTGAGCCAATGATACTAGAGACTCTACTGAATTGCAACGCCCGATTACTCTATTTAAATTATCAACGATAACGCAAGGTGAACGTTTTTTTGTTGTAATTTCTGGAATTTCATCATAATCCATATCATCATCGTCATCATCATTATGCCCAAATAATGTATCTTCGATATCATTATCTTCATCTTGCATTACTTGATCTTCTAATAAATCTTTTGCTCTAGTTGCAGCCAGATAATCATGAGTAAATACAAATTTCTGATCATTCGGATCAGTATTCCAAGTTTCTTCTTCCGGATCTTCATATGCAGAATAATCATAATATTCTTCCATTGTAACTTCTTCCATTGTAACAAATTATTTAATTAAATTTTTATTAGATAATGTGTATTTTGTAGATAATGCTTTATTTTTTAATGTGAAATGAAGGAGTTAAGTTGTCTTATTTATAGATTATGAATTCTGCTACTTGAAATATTTAACAAAGATATTATTTTAACAAAGGTATTTTAGAAAGCGTTTTATAAGTGATTCAAAAGATGAAAAAGACATTTGAACAAGGCATTTTAGAAGCAGTTCAAAAAATGAATGTTTTAAAAAAGGCACTTGAACAAGACATTTTAGACAAGGCACAAACGTTTCAGAAATATTTAATTGAAGTTTTTAGACAAAATGTTTTAAAAGATATATTTGATCTTAGTGAACAAAGATTTAAACATGTTATCAATTTTATTTCCATTTTTCATTATACGTTAGATATCAAATTT